AAAAAAATCATGTAAAAAAAAAAAAAGAAAAAAGTTTCCCGTACAAGATTTGGTATTTGAGGCATCGTGGAAGACATGTCCTTGCTCATGAATCTTTTGCCATTTTGGGATCGTGCGCTATTTTTTAGTAATTGCCTTTACTTACATGCTGTTGCCTCCATAATCATTCCAAAAAACAGCCATCGACAGGGCAATGATAGATGTGGGAAGACCTACAACGAGAAAAAATACATATATCAGAATATTCAATGCCTTCACGAGCCAGTTTTTCATTCTTCATTGAAGGACTTACCATAACCCAGTATGTAGTATCTTCTGCGGAATTTCTTCGCTTGATCTGTAAATACTTGCAGTAACGTTGCATAAAGATGCCAGCCCACGACAAGTGTCCATGAAAACAATGCGGCAAGGAAGAAATGAAGGAAGATTCCAACAGACTTGCACAACAGCTGAAAAAGAAAGTCCGCCAATAGATTCAAAATTCGTGATATTGACCTTGATTTCTTGACAAGTAGCAAAGCCGGTTTATCTAGGCTGCTAATCTTGGCTGCTAATATCATGAAACTGGTAATCTTCACTATTGTATAAAGACTGTTAGTGGCTGTTTGGATAGCTGGATAGAAGTACCTTTCAARCGGTTTGGGCATTTGGGCAGGGTAAAGGGTGCCCATACATGAAATCAACTCTACTTTCGTAACATGTTCAACGAAGGTAAGATTCATTGCATGTATGTACAAATTTAATTACCTTGTTATGTGTTTGATGTGCTCCAAGAAGGAATATTAATTGTGTTACGCCGATGTTGAAGGCTAAATTCTTAATCACGTGTGATCTGTCAGACGTCAATCTGCAAAGATTTTAAAGATTTTAAACGACTCATTATCAAGTCATTTTTCTGAAAAATGCATATATTAAGGGCAAACGGCCCATCAGGCCCGAAGTCCGCTTAGTATTCGGAGGTTCGCGAATAAGCATTGATTAACATTACATCGTTATTGTCAGCGCGAACACATTTTGAAACCAATGACATCAATAATGCTTCTTGTCACTAATATATGTCCTCTGAAAATGCACAGTACAATGAGTATTTTCAAAATGTGCAACTTACTGTAGTACGGTGTATATTATGCAAGTAGCAGCACACCCAGCAACAGATATTCCACAGCTGATATATGACAAGACCTTCAACAGCCTCTGGTGATAGACATCAACTTTATCCTGAAATAAAATAACAAATTTATTCGCATTATAGTGCGAAAGGAAATATAAGAGGTTACCATAGCAAAGAACTCTGCCCTCACACACGACGAGACGACGGACGAGCCCGGCAGGACTCGAACCCATGTCACAGTGGTGAAAGGCGACGCATTAGCAGCCCGCATCACCCGTGCTTCAAGTTGAAAAAAATGCGCTGAGTTTCAAAATAATTATAATTTGTTTTGATATTGCTCCTATTTATCATCGATGCTTGATCGTTCAAGTATCTCTTACCTTAGGTTCGTAGACTTCCAATAGCAGTTCAAAGTTTGTCAAATGACTACAATGACAAACGGTATGTGTGGAGTTTGAGTTGTAAAGAATGCAACCATCTCTTAACCAACGGTCTTCTGGAAGCCTGTAATAGATTTAGCTGTTAGTAGGAACACAGGCAGCCCAAACAAGGTTCCTGTGTATGGTTTATAAGGGAATGTATGGGAGTTATGATAAAGTTGCGAAAATAAAATGTTTCACTCAACAATTTGCTTCAAAACTTGTTGCAGTCGTTGCTTTTTCCTTGTCCAGTCTTCTGGCGAAGTTTCAGCGCGATTTGAGGCCGTTTAGTGGGTTTTTTCAAAATCCGCTCTTCTCTACCTAAATAATGGTAATAAAAATAATACCCATTATTTAGGTAGAGAAGAGCGGATTTTGAAAAAACCCACTAAACGGCCTCAAATCGCGCTGAAACTTCGCCAGAAGACTGAACAAAGAAAAAGCAACGACTRCAACAAGTTTTGAAGCAAATTGTTGAGTGAAACATTTTATTTTCGTAACTTTATCATAACTCCCATACATTCCCTTATAAACCATACACAGGAACCTTGTTTGGGCTGCCTGTGGTAGGAACGTGAGAAAATATCAAAAGGTCAATTAAGGGATTGAGGACCACTTGGTTATTATAACTGTCCTGTGTTACCTCTTGAAATAAAGTTCATTCATTGATTCATTGACGAGACGGACGTTACTTACTTTGAGGCCGTATTCAAGAAGGAGCAATGTAAACGAGTATCCCGTCTTGCTGTGCTGTTCATATCCTGAGGAACGTGGAATAAAAGTTAATGATCGACAAGCAAATGTTAAAACTTTTTCAGAGCTTATGTCATCGATTTATGAGATATTGTTTAAACTGTATCTATTTGGTAGTCATCAGTCAGTCACGTGACAAACCTGTTATAGAACAATATGTGATGCGAAATGCGCATGCAATRCCGACACGAGTGAAAAACGACTAAGCAAGCCGAAGTCAGTATGCAAATTAGACAAAACGTCTTCATGCTATTGTAAAAATAAGTACATTACATAATTAAATTTCAACATGCCTGATAAATTTGACTTTCAAATATACCAAAACCTACTTGATACTTAAGGCTAATTCTTTCATATTGTTTTTATTAATACAGTATCTTAATCTCGCAAACGCATACTCACGAATTTGTTTGTATACTCGGAGAAAACACATTAATTAATTTTCTCACTCAAGAACTCTTCTAAAGTCTTAGAAAACTTGCATGCGCAAACTGTTTCTCTAGTGTCTGAAATGCCTGCATCTGTGTCTGATACCACTATAATGGTGACATGATCGCGATGAAGATCACATTGCACGTACGTCATTTATGTGATCAAAATAGATGATTGTACGTGATATGACCACGTGATAGTCGTTTGCTATACACCTTTTCTTATTCACTTCCAGCTAATCTAAGCTAAGAGAAAGTGTTAGCCAATCAGAATCGAGAAAATTTGCAAAACTGAGGTGTCACTAAAGGTGTCACTTTTCCTCTTGACAATATGGATTTACAGGCCACCAAATGACAAAAATAGAGGGTTTTTTTTTCGCTGGTCAATTTTCACTCGCTTAATGACACTTCAGTTTTGAATATTGTCGTCATTTCTAGGTCCAGTCATTATTTCAGATCATTTGGTTAATACGACTAAGGGTGTATTAGACCTAATATTCCCTGCGCTTGGTCTGACTCTGCTAGCAGAGATAAGGTTAGCATTATCTTACCAAATGCATGAATACCAGTTCGATTGGTTCTTCTAGATTCTGAAAGTATTCTTTATTCTCGCCAACAACTCTTCCTGATATCACAACAGAGTTTCCAGTGGTCCCGTTGTGCGATTCAGTGGAACCTCTTTCTTGACGTGACCTAAAAGGAGAAAATAATACCGTCAAAAACACATGATGACATATGCAAATATCAGTTGTTTAAAGAAAAAAACAAAATGAGCTTAGTTTTTAGCAGCTGTGGAAACATTTACTAACATTCACTTACTTGATTTCAACTAATGGGTCATAGGTTAGCAAATCTCCCAAATTTCTATAAATGATCGTCTCGATACTCGTGTAATATGCTGAAACAAGATATGAAACAGCGTTCATCAGTTTCATCAGAGTAAGAAATTAAGACTGCTCCATGCAAAGCAAATTATTTTGTCTTTGACTAACCATCGATGATATAGACGTCATTCGCAAACATTCCACCTTTTCCTCCAACACAGTTGTCAGCGGTGCCATACTTGTCGTAGCTAAGATGCGCAATAGAACTCGACGCACACCAACCACCATCTTGAATAGCAAACACCTTCCAGCCTCTATTCTTGGTTACAAGCGCGCACTTTTCAACAGCGTTTTTACGAGTCAGAAAGCTATCCATGAGTATAGTGTGAGTACCTTCCATAGTTGCTATGGCAMGTTCGCTTTCTTTGTCGCCATAGCAACCAAGACTGGTATAGAACCCTTAAAGAATAAAGTTTTTTTTTTTTAACTTTCATTCTACAAAGTGCTTCTTTTAAGATTTGTAAAGTTTATAACCATATTGATTCATTGAGTGAAGCTGTACTAATAATTCCGCGCACCGCAATGGAATGTATAATTTTATCCGTTTGCACCGTTGGTTTGGAAATTTAACAAACGCAAAATGTAAGCAAGCAATTAATAGGTGTAAAAATAAATGAGTATGCTATTCTCTAAAAGAGAAATAGAGCCTAAAAACGCTGTACCTTCTTTAGTTTTGTCTTTGATCGCAGCAGAGAACAACGATACAGGATAGTAGATAGAGTCATCAACATCACGTGATGCATTTGATGATGACGTAACGTTAGGTATCAGTGCACCCTGGAACTGATTCATTTCTACCATCATAACATGAATGTCTGGAGGAAAAATATGTATACATGGCCTAAGTACAAAGGGTATCTGCTCATTCAATTTTCATATCATTTCGTTTATGGTGGGTGCGTCAGTCTCATATATGTACTCACATATGTTTTGCGTAGACGTCATAAGACTAAGACTAGAAAAACGATTAGGGTCATTGATTGAATTAGCCTTCATGATGCCTTCGTGTATCTTAGCAACCACAGATAGTAATCTTTCAGTCGTCATTATCAAGTCTTTGGCTTTGGATGCAGGCTGTAAAAGTAAACGATGGCACCATATTATAATTGTTTACAGTGCCCCTCTTTTGCTACACCTTGATTATGCAGTCAAATCTGATGGCATACACGGCTAATTTTCCACAGCCTGTTATCGTAAGTCACATGCCTTAAAAACTATGAAACTGTATAGTCATCTAATGCTCCTCGGCTCTTCGGGCGTAATGTTTTCCCATTTCAGACCACGTGTTATTCCCTAGAGTATAATTTCTTTGTTTCACGGTTGCGCTCGGTTGCAAATGAGAAGACACGTGTATATGGATGCAGCTCAAACAAAGAATCGTATTCTCAAGGGAATGACGCGTGGTCTGAAATGGGCAAACATTACGTTTGATCTAAAGGAGGTCATATTTTTAGTGGTAATAAGTTTATGTTTTAGTGGAATGCAATGTATATATTGGATAGAAGTGTATTGTTTTATATTGTATGCACTGTATTGTCTTCCATTGTCGTTCTATTGTTTCTAGGTCATGAACTTATAACCAATTTAGCTTACCTCTTTCATTCCATTCCAGGCTTTACGGTTGCCAGTATCTAGCAGACCTCCACCTGCTTTTGCCATATGCTACATACGAGATATTAGACTAAATTAACGCAATATAGTGATTCTCAGTTTAGTAGAACTTTCCTTGACAGGACAGTGCAAGTACAGAGTTTCTGGTTTCTTTCCTTGTTTTATTACTTTGAAGTATTGAATACTTTGAAAAGAAATTCCTGAAAAATCTTATATGTTGCAGCTTCACCTTATTACAAATACAGTTGGCAAGTCGAAGTACTATTAATAGTAGACAATTTTCTCACCGTAACAAAGTCTGTTAGTTCCTGATCCGTAACATTAGCACCGGTATTATTTGATGTATCTACCAGGTTATCTAAGATTCCTATAGCTGTATATATGTCTCCAGCGTAAATCTTCTCTTGGCTTGGATTAATGATATTGAATAAAGCAACTGCTTCTGATGTGAGGTCAGGAAATGTTGGATCCTTTTTTGAAACGACTGACGTTACCTTCAGAAAAATTGCAAGACTTTAGTACCTGGGCCCTGTCGTACGAAGGGTGGATAGCGCCAACCGACGGATGAATCTTATTCATGGACAGATTTATTAGATAGTTATATGTTTGATTGGTTAAAGTTGATTTACCTTCTTCTGTAGCTGTTTCATTGCATTAGTAGAGCACCTTGTCATGTCAGGTACACCCCAGATGCCCCCATTGATACCTCTATAACATTCTCGAGTGGCCTGACCTGAAATACAACTGACTAATAAATCAAATCTAAGATTAGATGACATTACTATTCATTATAAGGTACTCTACCTGTCAAAGGGCTGGGACAGAATTGAAAGCTGGTACTTCCAGATACAGTAGCGCTCCATAAAACATCTTGATTCCACTGAGCCGAACAGTAGGCTGACGCGTCAGTAGTAGATACTAAAAGGAGAAGATAAAAGGTTACAAGCAACGGTAGATCCACGGTCTACTGCGTGTATGCTATGTTGACTGCATGGCTTGGAAAGAAAAAAGTTTTGCAGGAGGATTTTAATCATACATATATATATATAAACTACTGTTTTATACAAATGACCTGCGACGTTGCTCAGTAGAAGTGTGAATTTTAAACTAAAGCCAAGTCTAAAGTTAGTCAAGTGTAGTAGAGCCCTCTTCAAGATAAAATAAAATAAAATAAAATAAAATAAAATAAAATAAAATAAAATAAAATAAAATAAAATAAAATAAAATAAAATAA